GGGACAGGGAGGGGCGGGCGGGGAGGGAGGGGCCCGGCTTCCCGCCCCGCCTAACCCGCGCCTTCCCTCGCAGGTGCTGAGGCGCGTTGTCCCGCGGACGGTGTCGTAGCTGAGGCCCCCTCGCCCCTGCCCACCCACCTATCCACCCGCCCGCCACCATGGACAAGACCGACTTGATCCAGAAAGCCAAGCTGGCCGAGCAGGCCGAGCGCTATGATGACATGGCCACCTGCATGAAGTCGGTGACTGAGCAGGGCGCCGAGCTGTCCAACGAGGAGCGCAACCTGCTGTCTGTGGCCTACAAGAATGTGGTGGGCGGGCGGCGCTCAGCCTGGAGGGTCATCTCCAGCATCGAGCAGAAGACGGACACCAGTGACAAGAAGATGCAGCTCATCAAGGACTATCGGGAGAAGGTGGAGGCCGAGCTCCGGTCCATCTGCACCACCGTGCTGGTGAGTCAGGGGCATCACTTGCTTCCAGCTGGGGGAGGCGGGGTCCAGGGATAGGTGCCATGTGCTGGGGGGGGGCCGCCTGAACAATGCAGCAAGCCAGTCAGGCCCAGGGGTGAAGTGTGAGGAGGGGAAATGAGCTGCATTGCACTGTGACACGTGTGTGGGGGGTGGTTTGTGAGAGCCACATGTGAGACATTGGATCAGGTAGTTCAGGGATCGCAGGGGGATTGGAGCTTAGGTGTGCCTGTGCCTTTGTATCGGTAATCTTCTGGGTGGGGAAAAGAAGATGGGGAAACTGTTCTCCTTCCCCTTTTGGTATGGGGTTGATAGTCTATGAGCACCCGGAAGGCTGGGTGTGGTACCCGAACTGCTGCAGGGTGCTGCACTGGCAGTTATGGAAAAGAGATGGAAAAGTAGAAGACTTAAATGAAGCATGACTGCTTTGTGGGGGAGATCTTGAAGTAAAATACGTGATACGTGGCACACAGCTTCTTAACTGAAGACATAAATGCAAATCTGCAGAAAAGTGGCAGTGCAGGCATTGCTTTGTGTTCCATGGATGCAGTAATAGTGGAATAATGTGGAAGTTGAAAGGGTCTGGAGCCTAAGAGGCTATGCATGAGTGTACAGATGACAGGAATAGCTGTCTGGCTCCTTGAACAGTGCACTAGACTTTTTTTTTTTTTTGAGATGGTGCTAATGTGCTGCATTGTGGTAGGGGATGAATTTGTGTCAGCAGTGCGGAAGGTGCACCGCCCTGTCATACATGATCAATGTAAGTTCTGGCTGCAGAAAACTAGATGTGTAATGCAGTTTAGAGTTTTTAGCAGATAACCTTGACCACTTCATTAGCACTAAAATAATAGCAGCTAGTACCGTAGGTATGTTAGGACAGGAAGAGGTGATTAGCAAATTCTTAGAAATGATGGAAAAAAATTACTATTTAATAAATGATTAACACTTCCTACATAGTGCTAGGAGACCTATAAAGCTAACCATCTCAATAATAATTGAAAATCAAATTAAGTCAGGAGTTCCAGTTCACTGACAAGTTGCCCATTTCTAGATTGTCCTGAAAATATCCGTGTGCTTTAGTCTGCACTTCCTCTTAGACCAAATGTAATTCAGGAAGAAAATTCTAATGCCAGGAAGCATTCTTCAGATGCCAAGCTAATAATTTCATCTTTTGCAATTATAGGCATAGTTAAACTTGTTAAATCTTTACCTCTTTTTTTTTTTAATATATATAATATCAAAACTCATGTGAAGCATGGGTTTTGACTGATTCTTGTTTCATGTGACACAATTCCAATCTGAATAGTGTCGTGTTGCCAACATTTGTACTACTAGGGTTCCTCTTGGTTTTTATCTTCCTCTCTGTGAACTGGTCTAGCTAGCCATCAGTTTCTTGGGACTTGTGCACACAACCATTTTTTCAGACTTCTCAAAATGTCCCTCATGCCTGCTTCTGTCAAACTGAATTCTCAAGAGGAGGTTATATGTGTTTTAAACTGTTTCAGTGTCCTAGTTGCTATGTCATATTAACAGAAGACACTCTGCTGCTCTTAGGAGTTTGGGTTGCTCTAGAAGTGAGTAGCAGCGAGCCATTTTAGCCCTTGCAGGCTAAAATTACTCCAGTTTTGGCAACCGGTGACCAGCAATTGGTGTAGCAACACTAATGAAACTCCTAATATGGGGGGGAACAATCTTACCTGCTGTGGCTGAGCTTACCCCACTATTGCTGCACTTTGTTTCTTGCTGCACTCAGCTGAGGCTTGGCTGGCAGCTGCGTGCTCTCACAGGGCCCATAAGACTGCAGGAAGTAGGGAAGACTGAAACCTATGAAGTGGCATGCTTTTCCTGTTCCACAATCAAAGATATGCATCTTCCTGTAGTGGGAGGGGGTGTCTGCTTTCTACTGCATGAACTGAAACTGCTGCTTTCCCTCCCAACACCATCTGCAGTGCCCATTCTGTTCCTCTTTCCCTTTCTTCTTGTCTGCCACTGCTCTGCTCCATGAGTCAGCAACAGAGAGATTGAAACTGTCATTGTAAAGAGAATTTTTTCCAGTGCTTACACTTTAAATAGAGCAGCAGCAAAACGTGCTCTTATGAGCTGCCCTCTGCAAACCGAAATTTTAATTTGTTTAAAAGTAAATTCATCCATAGACTATTACCAGGGTAGGAATTGTAGCTAAATCTCAAATAGTAAAGTATCAGCACAATATTACTCTTTTAGTTGTTTCTTGATGTATAAAATGGTTAAGCAAAATCACTGCTGGCAATTAATGTGGAAAGGTTGCTTCTCAGTCTCCAGTGTTCTCATTTAACAAGGGTGGATATATGTTGGGTGGAGCATGTGGCTGCTGTTAGTCATGTTGCTAACAAACAGATTTAAAAAAAGACTTAAAAAAACAAGCTTTTTTTTTTTTTTTTTTTTATTT